CTGGACGCCCGATGCTGAGCTCCGGAGAATTTCCTTCATCTTAGGAGAAGACAAAGTGAATGAGGATCAAAGCAGTCCAGGTTTTTCAAATATGTGAAATGTTATTATTTAAAAAAGAAGTTCATCTTAGGGAACCCTAGAGGATAGAACTAAACCCAATGAATGGGAACAACTAATAAGTTCAACACAAGGGTGGACTTACTGATAGATTTGTTCAAAAACGGCCACTTCTTGGATCATCTTGTATGCTGGGTATACAAGATGTGGTAGAATCCTGGGTATAATGACAGAGGCTTTGTAGAGTGAGTTGTTGGGCTATATGACCTTTAACATCTTCTTGCAGCTTGCCTAAGAGTCCTGTTAGTTTTTCACTTTCCCTTCAACCTAATTTTTATACTTGTTCACATTTACCACTCTCCACACACCTCCTTGGAGTATTTACTATGAGCCAAGTACTGTGTTTAGCATTTGGCTTCCATTCTTTTTTGCTACATTAAAAACTACACTCAAAATTAGTACTTTAGGAGGCCTTCCCTGGTGGTGCAATGGGTAAGGATGCAGCACTGCAAGCTGGCCACAGCTGCTTCAGTACCAATTTGATCCCTGACCCCAGAGGTGATCCTCATGGTGTGGCAGACCTCTCCTGACCAGCCTGCTGGCCCCTCAGCAGTGTATTTTATCGATCTGCCTGTTCTGCTCCCCACTCTGTCTCTAGTGAAACCTCTCACTGCCCTTGCACCTCTGGCTTGTACCCCAGTTCTGTATGAATAAATAGATAAATCTTTTTTAAAAAAATTAGTGCTTTAACACAATTATGTATCACATAATATAACAAATCTTTGTTTGGCTGGAATGTTCTACTCCCTATGGTGTTTACGGAAGCTGGGATGGCTGGCATTTGGTGTTCGCCCATGACAGAAGCTCAGCTGGAAATGTCCACCTGGGTGTCTGTGCTCTGGCTGAGTCCTCAAGGTTGTTTGGGCTTCCTCACAGCATGATGACCAAGTTTCCCAAAAGGATTATTTTTTAAAAAATAATATTAAGTTTATTTTTACATCATTTTGTGCCTTTTTCCATCTCAGTCGTAATCCCCATGGGCTTCCCATCACCAAATCACCCATCTGCCATCACCATAGTCCAGTGCACTTCCCCCCAGCCCCTGTTTTTATCCCATTCCCTATTCCACCCCCGTAAAATGTCTCTGGTACATCGTTGTTCATTATTATTATTATTATTTTCTTGCCTGGTCCTTTATACTCCTGCTATGAGTGAAACCATCCAGTATTTTTCCTTTTCTTTCTGGCTTATTTCACTAAGCATGATCCCTTCCAGCTCTACCCCTGTTGCTGCAAAAGTAGTGTGTTTATTTTTTTTGGTTGCTGATAATATTCCATTGTGTATATGTACCATATCTTTTTAATCCAGCCATCTATGTTTGGGCATTTGGGTTGTTTCCATGTCTTTCCAATTGTAAATAAAGCAACAGTAAACATGGGGGTGCCAGTGTCTTTTTCAATCAGTGTTTCCATGTCTTTTGGGTAGATATCTAGGAGTGGGGTTGCTGGGTCATATGGAAGCTCCATTTTTAGTAGTTTGAGAAACCTCCAAACAGTTTTCCATAGTGGTTGTACTAGTTTGCATTCCCACCAGCAGTGCAGGAGCGTTTGTAAAGGGAGTATTTTTAAGAGGTCAAGATGGAAATTGTAACATTAAACCCAGCATTGGAGGTCACACAGTATCATTTCCACTACATTTGATTGTTAAAACAGGTCACTGGGCTAGATTCAAAAGAAAAACAGATTATCTCTTGGTCATACTGCAAAAGAGTATGTGAGATAGGAGATAATGTGACAAGATTGTCTGTAAATAATCTTAGTAGATATATAAACAAATAATTATAGTTGTAGTCAAGGATAATAGATCATTAAGTGGTCACTGGATGAATATGTCACTGTCATGTATGAACATGCTGCCCTCTGACAGCCTGTGTGTTTCTAACTGTTCCTGTGACTGGAAGCTTACTGCTTTAGACAACAGTTCCTTCTTTGGGGCTGTTCTACATGCTAAAATTACTTTAAATCAAAGCAAAAACCTGCTTTCCTGGAATTTCAGCTCATTAATCCTAGCCTTGGTTTATCCTTTTCTCTCATAAAATGCATATACTTGTTGGCCCTCCCTGGTGGCACAGTGGGTTAAAGCACAGCACTAAGAAGCGTAAGCCATTTCTGCATGAGTTCAATCCCTGCCTGCCCCGGAGGTGACCACATGGCGAGGCAGACCTCTCCTGACCCGCCCGCCGCTCCCCTCAGAAGTGTACTTCTTCGATCGGCCTGTTCTGCTCCCGTGTCTCTGGTGAATCCTCTCACCCTCCGCATCTCTGTGGCCTGTACCCCAGTTCTATATGAATAAATAAATCTTTAAAAAAATGCATATACTTGTTCCTTGCTAGGCTTTCAAAATATATGAAAACTACCACCTATGATTTTCCCAATGATCACCCACAGCTGTTTCATAATCATATCTCAAATTGCTTCTGAATCTTGGGGTTTTAAGTATCTGAACAGACAGTAGGTGCTGAGAGGCCATAGTTCCTCCTTTATACCACTTTCATTATTCAGTTCTCTTTTGGCTTAAAAAATTATTTGGATTCTCATCTCTTTAGAGGGATGGGTTTGGGGAGCTCAAGCAGAAGGATGGCCTCTGATTCTGATCTCCTTTGCAACAGCAGTTTGTTTGGAAAAACTCCCAGTCTCTGGTGTAGACTTCTCTCCCTCTCTCCTTTTCTAACAGGACTTTCAGGGTTCTCTCTAAAATGGCTGCATTCTGGATATTCCTGGCTCATTCTCCCCATCACTTATTTGTGCTACCAAACTATGTTTGGCCGGTAGAGGGTGACAAAACCTAGATTTCTACTAGAACACAGCTGGGCAAGCTCCTTGCTCCTTACACTTCTTCCATCTGGAGCTCACATGTACTGCATGTTAGGAAACTTCTAAGACATCTGCTAAAGAAAATGAAAGGAAAAGACAATAAAAGTGAAGTCATGCAGCCAGACAACCCTGTGGCTTAGGGCTGGAGCTGTGTTGCTAATGAGCTTAGGGAGATTTGGATCTGCAATTTAATTTTCTGGAAAATGGGCATCAGAATACAAGTGCTATGACTAGAGTATTTGGAGAAAGGCTAAATGATATCACATAAGAATAAACTAGCTATAAATAGTAAGGGCTTTTCAATATTCAAAACCCTTTGCTACAATATTATTTCTGATCTTGTTTTAACTTCAGTTCCTCCTCCCCACAAAGGAAAAAACAGTTCTATCTATGGCGGATCCTTTATTTCCATACTCCCCTTCTCAATAGGAGAGGGCAAATTTTCCTGTCAAGTTGTTTACATGAGAAGTTGCTAACTTTCAAAGGGGAACCCTTGTTCATGAAAGAATCCAATAAATATTTGCTTCATTTCAGAGTAGATCACAATATCTATTGAAAAGCTAAGCCCTCTACTGTACAAACTTCCTTCTCCCGAGCCCTCAGTGTACACCATCCATACCTGAATGCCTGAACTGACTGCAACCTCTGATCTGGCTGGCTCTAGAAGGTTCTTTCATCCCCGGTGGATGCTTCACGAGATGCTTCTGGTCGTACAACTTGTGCTCTGCATAGCCCTAAGGGCCATCATTCAGTGCAGTTATCAGGGAGATGTATAGTCACAACTTGCCAGCAGGCAGTAGTCAAGTGTCCTAAGGTAGGGGACACCTTGTTTCAATTTGTTCAAAATCCTGGTAACCACAGGTAGAGCTGTTCTTCCTCTGGCTCACTCATTTCTGGATCTCCTCTATTATGCCTAACACTTGGCACATGTTCACTGAAAGGATTTAGTTCTATTTCTTGGAATCAGGCGAAACAAATCCCCCTACTAAGTATTCCTTAAATATTTAAGGTAGAGATTAAGTTTCCAGTGATGGTTCTTGTTGCACACGTCAGGTGGTTTACCATGCTGAAGGTCATTTAAGATGTGGAATACAAAGCCAACTGTAGGGCATGTAATGATGGATCATCCAGGTGTTGTAGTCAGCCTGGCACTTCCTAGTTAAGAATCTGGAGGCTGTGCCAGGAATCTGAGGCTCAGAGGCAGGGTGGTAAATACTGGCAAAGGGAAATGGTAGCTTGGGACAAGAAAGCGATCTTATACCATGCAGTTGCTTCTACTATTCTGGCTCCTCGGTGGATCTGGGAAGCAAAGGAACTGCATCAGTTTAATGACTTCAATTCTGAGGCTAAGGTAGGGGAACACTATGAGCCTCTGTCCCCCACTCCATGCCCAAGCCTAATCGTTAACTCAGCACCATAGTTTCTCACAGGGCCACTTGTCCTCAGCCATGGCCAAGTTCAGTAACTGTGTTGGCCTTCCTACTGTTTCCACTCATCCTGTCCCATTTTTGTTCTCTGGAATTACTTCCTAGTAAGTCCTCTGCACACAGGTCCTCAGGTTCTGCTCTCTGGAGGGCCCAGGCTAAGAGTCCGCCAATCTTAAGGATACAGAAATCAAAGTAAGTCCGAGCACTTGGCATGTCTAGTCTGGCTTCTAAACAGGGTCAGAGTAAGTTAAATATTTAAATGAGAGGAAGAAAAAAGGTGAAATCATTTGTTTCCACATTATCATCAAAATAGGTTAAAAGCCATGGTTTGAAGGTAGAAGCTAGCAGACCATGCGCTGCACCGTGACTAGTCTGTCCAGTTTCTAGCTTTCATAAATTGTTCAAAGGTCATTTCAATGGCTGCATCTTATGAACAAAATTATGTTTTAGGGGATCATTAAATAGCTCCCTAACCCCATGGTTGCTCATCCTGTGTGCTTCTAAGAGCTCCACAGTGTTTGTAAAAGGCTTGTGAAGTTACTTAGAATATGTTTGTGTGAGGATTGTGTGGGTGCAGAACCAGTTTTTACCCAAAACAAGTACATGTATGCAACTAAGGACAACAAAAAAACCAACACAAGTATTGCCACCTAGAGATAATTTATTGTTTTACCATGACCCAGAAAATAAACAACAGAATAACAAGTCATAATAAATCCCCACGATTTCCTTCTCCAATCTCTCTACCCTAATACTTGTTGGACAACACTGGTCCCTTAAAATGAACCATTGTGACAACTGCACATAAATTTTGTTTTGCTGCCATTTGTCATAATTGAAACTTTAGCCCCTGATCAGGGTTCAAACTGTTAATGGAGGAGTTCCTTAGCTCTCAAAAAACCAAACCACTTTTCCTCTAAGATTCCACTGTTTATTAAGAAGTCTTTCTAGAAAGTTAATGAGGATTTTAAATGAACATATTTAACTTCAAAATTTACTGAACATCTTTATCTACCAAGCATCTGGGCTCTTCGGAGACTACTGAATTGAACAGTCCAGTTTTTAACAGCAATAACTTAATTCTGCAGGTATACAAAGACAAGTTTCTTTTGATCTAATCTAAATTAAGAAACTAAGAATTGACAAAACAGGAAAGGCTGTTTTATCCAGTCTACAGATAGACAATGCCTGAGTTAGCTCTCTATATAAATTTAGGTTTATCATTTTGACCTGGTTGCAATAATCTATATTTAACTAAAAGTTAGTAAAAATACATTTTAAAGTAATTGCTGACTTTGTTCGCACACCCCACCTCTCAACTCACACATTTTTAGAACGAGATATTCCTGCATAATCATAATCCGCTTCTTCCCTTCCCACCTCCATCATCTGTTTTCAAGTAAGGACCCCTGCTACCACAGAAGCACCTCTAAGTCTCATATGCTTTGTCCTTGTTGTGGCTGACTAAAACGCTCAACTATCACGTGGTAGAGATGAAGGGGAAGGCAAAGGGTACCTAATTCCCACACACCCCCAGCAGGCCTAGTCACTCTGCCTCAGCTAGCAGGCGAGCGCTGTCAGTTTCCCTCCCAGCTGCCCCTTCCTCCCATACAACCTTGTTGGGAGACTACAAGGTAGCAATTCAGGGCAACCGTAGCTGCCTTGTTCCTCCCCTGAACCAAAGGAATTTAAAAGCCAAATCTAAAACTGGAATGAAATCCTTGTTTCAGTAACACTGTTCAATTGCTCATTCTTCAGGTCTTAAAACACTCAGCTGTGTTGCTAAGTGCTCACTGAAAGGGGAAAGCCAATGAACTTAGCTGCTTTATGCGGAATCTGAAGTGAGTTGTGATTCTGCAGTCAAGGAAGGTGAAACTCTCAAACATCAAATAAACAAAACTTTGAATAGCAGGCTACTGCTTAGACATCAACCTAATGCCCACTCTATCTTTCACTGTTTTAGGATAACAGAAAAACATTTGTGACATCCACTCTTAAATAGAACCAGACCATATGAAACTTATGCTGAGAGATTCTGTGTTCTGAGAAAAGCATTCCCAAACTTTTGTTTGATCTGCAGACTTGGAGATGGCTTACCTCCGTATAAATTTGTTTACAAAGCTTTGAAAAGAGATATTTCTTAGATATAAAAAAATGAATCTGAATAGCAAAATAAGCAACTGCCTTTACATGTAGTGTCCATTCTAAAAATGAAACCTAAATCTATGCTATGAAAACCTTTCAAATAATTATTAAATTCTCCAGCAGTTAAAAAAAATCTATTCTAATGTTGATGAAAAGATCTATTTATACCACTCCATTGCCTTTTCTCTGATTCTGTATTTCACTTTGCAATCTGCAGACCTCCATTTGGTTTCCCAGATGGGGACACCAGGTCCCCTCTTAAATTTTCTGAGAAGCTGCTCAGAGTGGGACATAAGACTATGGCTCCTCTGGCAAGTATTGCTGTCACTGACTACAGTTAACTGTTGCTCAATTCACATATGAACCTTCTACAAGGGTGGTGGTTACCAGCTTTAGGTAAGTACATCAGGATGACCAGACCATGGAACAAAAGTAACTATTAAGATGAAATTAGAAATTATTTCACAGTTATGGATCTTCCCAAACCCACTCTACTAATCGTAAGCTCAGCGGGCAGTAAGTGGGTGCAGGGAAGGTACGCAGCCCAAGAGTGTACTATAAAAAACACTCCTCAGGACTTATAGAACTTTCTGTAAAGTCAGACACCATCTATTTTCCAGAAATAGCCTTTCCCTATCTCACATTTTCTAAGCATAAAGATTTTAAAAGTTGGTATGAGAAGCAGAACATGGTTTAAAGACTCCGGACAAGTGGTCCCGCTGGCCTCTCCTGTGCACTCTCTGCTCTATTCATGTAGGACTCCACCCAACACGCTCAGAAAACTCATCCTGTGGCTGAAAGGATGACCCAAGGATCGTTCATTTTAGTTCCCTATTAACCTTTTTTTCCTAGTGAATTTACTTATCCTCTCTGGCTGGATAAGCACCAAACCGTGAAGCTTTTCCCCTCATTCTCCCTCCTCAGTTCTGTGAACTGACTTTTTGTCTATAACCACGTCGACTTCTTCACTACTCACTCCAAAACTATGTCTTTTTGGAGTGATGTTGTCATAGATTAAAATAAAATACATTATCTGTTTACAGGGAATATACAGAACAACAGGGGTTGGGGGCACAAACACAGACACTGACAATATGATCATACAAAATATGTAGAAGTACCCACATTAACAAAGTTTGTAAGAAGTACATTTTGCTATTTCTTTAGCATTTCCCCACATTTTTCTTCTGTGGATCCTCTGGAGTTAAGATTGAGCCTCCTCTGCAGTGTTTCTGAATTCATTACATGATTGGAACATACTGATGGAATTCATTTTCTTTCCAAAGCAGTGAGTGCTATACATGAAAGTTTTCCTCACAGGTAATAATAATAGTTTATATACAGTATAAGCTTTCTGATGCTAAGGGCTGAGATGTGATTAAAGGCTATGCCACGTTTATCAAATACTAGAAGTTTCTTTCTGGAATGGATTCTGATGTAAGATGTGAATTGTCTCCTATCAAACATGTCAATCTCTGTATAAATTTAGCAAGTTTGATTTGTATGCCTTTAATAAAACACTAAGTGCCTTACTTATCAAGATGCCTCAGACATACATTCTTAGGCTTTAGCCTTACCTACCAGGTTGCAGTAAAAACAATAGCTCACAATTTGAATTTTACTTCTCTTCCTGGCGAGGTTAAGGTACATTTTTTAAAATCCTTCAGAAACTTTCATTAGGCTGGCTAATATACTAATGGTTAACTACAGAGTACTTGAACTGTTAACAGATTTTGGCCAGTCAAAACTTCTGACTATCCTGAATGCTGATTAGATTTTGTAAGCCTTTTTGATTTTAATCCAGTGACATTTTGCACTGAGTATCTGATAAATGAATACAATGCAAATGCTTTTAATAAACAGCATAAGCTTCTTTTCTTCAGAAGACCTATCTTCAAACAGCTGAAGATCTACAGCAACCCAGTAACTCTCCCACAGTCAATACAATGTCCCGGTGAAATGGGAGTTAAATGTGGGGGCACAGGTTATATTTAACTTCTATTTAAAAAAACCCAAAAATGACAGCTATATTATGTCAGCATGTAGTTGCGGCTAAAAAAAGGCCAATGTGGGACCAACCAGAGTTCATTCCCTCTTAACAACCGTCAGCACTTTGATCAGTTCCAGGAGTTAAGCACCTCACTGCTTTCAGCTTAGCAGCAAGACGTTACTCAAAAGCACAAGCAGTTTCCTAAAACATCAATGTGCTTACAGAAAATCTTAAAAGCAATTCCTCTATCTTCATTTACTACAAAAGCTACTTCAATATACTCTTCTGGAGTAGCTCTTCTGTTTTTCTTAAATTAGAAGTACAGAAATATTCTGATCACCAATTGGCTTCCTTGAAAGTTTTCACAGGCAACACTGATGAAACTGTTTAGAAGCAGTAAGGAAGTTGTGGTTGGTCCAACTTATAGAGGCCATAAGAATTACAGCTGTGCAGAATCTTAGAGCTGGTCACATCTGTCCCTACCTCAATGGCTTCTCATAAAGCCACAATGTCTCTTGGACTTAAGCATTGGTTAGTGAACTGAACAATGATGTCTCTTGATGGAAAATTTCAAACTCTATGTGAGGTTCTCCTATTACGTTCTAGTCTGCGTTTCTAGTGGGGCTGGCCCCCACCATTTGCATGTTCTCACGAGCACTGGCACCTCTCCCAAAGTCCCTGATGACAACCTATTTTCCACAATACCTAGGTCTCCACTCTATCGTTAGCTTCTAGGCAGTCAACTGCATCCTCCTGCACAGATGACAGAAAAGGTCAGTCTCATAATTTCATCTCAGGCTTTAGTGATGAGAAACAAAAAAGAGACTGTGTACTGTCACTATGACACAATCAACCACATCTTAGCATGTTGGTGAACTTCTCAGAGCAACAAACACATTATGATGTAAAATGCTTTTGTGATGTTTCTGGAAAGTGTGGAAAAATGCTGCCTACAACTTCTTTTATGAAAAGTGACCCCGCAAAAATCACATTTTTGAACTGTTATTATCTGAAGTCACAAATGATTCAGAAAGTGCTCAAATCACTACGTTGTTCAGCAGCTGACAGATGAAAATTCTGGTTAAGATCTTTACCACACAGAAAGATGTTGAAAATGGCCTGTCAGTGTTGATATTCTTCAAGATGACAATATTAATTTCTGACATTTCAGGGTTTTTATTCACTGATCTGTGTTTATACATAGGTGGCCAACTACCACCTTTCCTTCATATTTAGGGCAAAAAATTGACCCTAGAGCTTTATGAACATGCCAGTATCTGAAGGTTCCCTTCAAAAGTTGAGCCAGGCTACCATATTCCAGGTGCTTCTGGTGCACAGACAGGGCTTTACCATAAATGTAAAGTCCTGTCAGAAGTCAGGTATAATGAATGCCTTGCTCATGTCCAGCACTTTGTCCAGTGCTATTGGAACTATAAATATATCCCTTGATGATCAAACCATCTCCTTTGGGAGTGATGAAAACTTTCATACATAAAATAATGAAGGATTATAAGACAGTATACAATCAAGTGCTAACTTGTGGAGAAACCCATTTAGGAGTGCCATAGTGCTTTAGGGAATTTTGAGAAGGAAAGAAGTGTTTTGAATCGCTTTTGCCATTTTGGAATTTATCTCAGTGATGAGGATAGAACCATCTACATGTGTTGGAGTCCTTTGGAACTGTAGACTGGTGCACGTACCCTCTCTTTCAGGAAGAGATAGAAATCTTTGGTTTGATACTGATCAGCACAGTCCTAGATTTCTATAGCTTTGGCAGGCTACCAGTGATCATATATATAACTTAACTAGTTTGAGCAGCAGGTCCCAAAGTAGTTTTTGTTTTAACTGTCCCTCTTTTATGAGAAACAAGGTACAGTAAGACACTGGCCAAGTCAGGCTTGTTTGCAGCAAGCAGTTTCTTGATGTTCACAGAGCCAATTTTCATCTTTCTATTATACACTGTGGCTGTGAGTGTAACAGTGCCTTAGAGGTATCCTCATTACTGAAAAGCTAGACGTTTTACTGTGAGCATGCTTACATCTTGAGTGGAAGGATCATGTTATTAGCCACATGATTACCTTTTCTCTGCAGGGGCTGTGTGGAAGAATTACATGCCCACAGACTACACAAATGCAGAACACTGCTGATCTAACTGTAAGGATCCTTAAGTGTGATTTTTTTTCTTTTAATCTGTTGAGGCTTTCTTTTTCCCCTCCATGGCCACACATCTCTGAAACAACTGTTGAAACAAAAGGGGGAAATGGCTTGTTGACAAATACTTGTTTTACACACAGCTTTTCAGGAATGCCCCAAATGCATCCAGGGAGGCTGGACTGTATTCAGAGGCTCGCTCCCTGGTATGGATTCTGTGATGCAGAGTAAGGGTTGAGCTCCGGGTGAAGGCCTTGCCACACTTAGTGCACTTATAAGGTTTTTCTCGGGTGTGAATTCTCCGATGCAAAATTAGGTATGAATTTCGGTTGAAAGCTTTTCCACATTCACTACATTCATAGGGTTTTTCCCCTGTGTGGATTCTCTGATGTTTCGTAAGGTCTGAGCTCTGGCTGAAGGCCTTCCCACACTCATTACATTCATAAGGTTTCTCTCCAGAGTGGATTCGCTGATGTAGAATGAGATTTGAACTATGACTAAAGGCTTTGCCACACTCATTACATTCATGAGGTTTCTCTCCTGTGTGGATTCTCTGATGCAGAACAAGGTTTGAGTTGAGACTGAAGGCTTTCCCACACTCACTACATTCATAGGGCTTTTCTCCAGTGTGGATTATTTTATGGCGAATAAGGCTTGAACTCCTTGTGAAGCATTTACCACATTCATCACATCTATGAGACTTTGTTCCTGTTGGAACTTCTTCAGGGGTGTTAAAGTTTGAACTTAGACTGAAACTTCTTCCCAATCCTTTACCCTTCTCCCTTGGACCTCTCTCTCCTGTGGCTGTTTTTTTTTCCTTCACTGTGATCGGCCCTGAATCTCTCTTTTCTTTTCCAGTCTTCTCCTCAGGGTTCCTCTGCTGCTTTTCTACTATTCTGCCCTGCTGCTCACGTTTTTCTCCCAACTCTTTCTGCAGTCTTCCTGTTGTCTCCCCATGTGATGCTGAGTCTTCTGTGACTTCAGCCTTTGAGGTTGATTCCTCATTCTCATTCCTGTTTTCACAACCTGACACAATAAATAGAAAATACAAATAGCACCTTTTTCTTTTTAATATGTAGGCTAATCAAGTGATACTCTTCCCTAGGAAGCCTCAACATGCCTGCAAAATGGCTTCACAGTATTACTTGGAGGTAAGAGGGGGAAAAAAACAATGGACAACAAAAGAGGTGGGTCTGAGAGGGCAGGCAAAGCATGGAATAACCAAGAGAGGGAGCATTCAGATAGGATGGGACTAAACAGAAACCCCAGGAAATAAGCAAAGGGAGTAGAATCAGTTAAGGAAGGAGAGAGAGGAGGGATGAAGGGCATAAGAGATCACAGTTTCATTATTTGGTGACCCAGTGACTAATCTGAAACAAACATTTTAAAAACCATATTCTCTTTCTAATGTATTTATAAGCTTAATGGTTACATGGCCCTTCAGACAAAGGAAAGAATTTCTCTCCACCAGGGAGAGCAGACAAGAAAACTTTTCACAAATGCAGAGCTGATCCTCTCCTTTTAGCATAGCTTATTCAAACACTGGTATATATTTTTTCTTGTAGTTGGCTATATTCTGTGTCACTGTTTTTAAGCAGATTAGAAATTGTTCAATAAGCACACACTATTTTACATGCTCATGTTTGTCTAGGGAAAAACCAAATACTCCAATCCTATTGTTTCTTTATGAGGCTTCAGAAGTTTTTCCAATGCAAGTTTCTACTATCCCAAACAAGCCCTTGAGAACAACTACTAGTGGAGTTCAACAGCTAACCCCTGTCTTTAGTGATGAAGTTAGCATAAATATTGAACTAATTATAAGTGAGGAAGAGGAAATGGTTCAATTTCTTTTGACTTTCAAGCCAACGTTCTTGGCTAGATAGTTCCCAGACTGTTTCCAATGTTTGTTTTTGCCCTTTTTTTTTTTTTAAGTTATCTTGGAGTAGGTAAAAACAATGTTCAATTCTTTCAAAATAAAGCTCAGTTCTTTAGCTTAATTTTCATCTAGTTCAAAGAGCAAGTGGCAAGAAACCATGACTCCAGTTATATCTGTGGTTCAAAACAAAACCTGAGGTTTGTTTAGTAAAAACTTTTCTTCAGTTTCCCTTCATGTACCCTTCCTAGGCAGAAATTTCAATGTGGACTTCCCTACGACAGGGTGGATTACAAGGCTTCTTTGCAGGACTATTTCTCTTAGGATTAAGATCCAGCAGAGACAAAGTGAATGTTTGTCAATTGGATCACCTTGTCTCACAGGCCTAATGTCTCTTAGAATTTATTTTCCTACAAACCCAGGACCCAGAATTCTTCATAGAGAATTACCATTAGGTGTGGGAGATACAGGCCCAAGCTCATGGCATGCACAAAGCTATTCCCAAAAAGGAAAAAGAGAGAAAGTACATGAAGGATGTAGAGCAGGTTCGGAAACATGGTGCCAGGTTAGGATTCAAAGGATGCTCACTGATCCTCTGTGCTAGGAAATACACATTCCCCCAAATAATAGAATCCCAAGGGAGTAGAGCAGAATCCTCCCAAGTAACAGCATGGCTGAAGAAGTGAGAATTCAAAACACTAACTTCAAACAGCAAAAACCACCTATTGGCTAAAAAAAAAAAATCTACCTAGAATCAGGATTTTTTAAAAAAATAATGTAATAGTTTATTTTTACAACATTCTGTGCCTTTTTCCATCTCAGTTGTAATCCCTGTGGCTTTCCACCAAATCACCTATATGCCATCACCACAGTGGAATCAGGATTTTTATATATACCAGACTTTGAGAGTTAAATGAACATAAATGTTCTCATTCTCTATTGGCTTGAAGAATGGGACTCAATTATCTCTAAATTCCTGTCAACACTCAATTGAATACCTAAGAAGAGCCCACAGCCAACAACAGAGAGGGGCAAGTAATATTATCAGACAATAGTCCCGCATCAGTCTTACCTTGGGAAAACACGTTCCCATAATTTTCCTGCCTGTTGTCCCTGTTGAGATTCCTTCGAGCCAGGTTCTGACATCCCCATTCCTCCAGGATGAGGGACACGGCCATGTCCTCAATCTTCACCATTGCCTGAAATAACGAGACCCCCCCCACACACTCAATTTCCCCTGAATTGACAATCCCATTGCCCAAACCTGGAGTTGGGGACAGAGTTGACCATAAACCTACAGGATGCTGGGAAAGAAAAGGTGACCATGCTGGGCTCTGGAGGACCCGGGGGTGATTAACAAGGGGACTGGGACTCTGGGAAGTGGTGTCAAGAATAAGTGTACTGGCAGAGACTCCTAAAGTGCTCCAGTGGGGGAGGCCTACAGGACAGAAGGGCCCACAGCTCACCTGGGAATCTGCTGTGAATAGTGCAGATGCCATTGCCTGGTCTCTGGGACTACCTTCCTGATGAGGGGCAGGAACATGAGTGGTAGGGAGAGCTGAGGAAGGAGAAAGAGGCTGTGAGTAAAAGCAGCACTATTCTAAGCCTCTCCTCAATGAAGGACCCAGGGGCACTTTCTTTTCTGTGCCAATATAGTGGAGATTCAATGGCTAACTAAAGATAACTACAGAGAACATCAAAAAGAAATATGACTTGTTTCTGAAGAATTCCACTCTTAAGCAAAAGTCACAAGGAGTCCTAAAAGGGTCGTTAAAATCTCCTGGTCTAAACCTTTATTTTAAAGAAAGGGAAACTGAGGCTCTGAGAGGGAACATGACTAAAATGACACAGTTAAGTCTGGCATGGAAAAATGAGAATTTAGGTCTTGCTCTCAGCTACAACTGGGTATCATTTAAACAAGGATTTTAGGACTGGGTGGTCCACAATTTTCTCCAGTATACACGCTGGGCATGCGCACACACAGCCCAAATATTGATGACATTTACAAGCTGATAAGGATATGGATTAACACTCATCCAAAAAAAGATACCATGATTTATCATATGATCCTATTAATTGCAATGTGTAAGAATAATTAGAAAATTTTTCAGTTGTCATATTAAAATCCTCTTTTGCCAAGTAATAGATTTGGAAATGTTGCCTGTAAACAGATGACCTTACTAAGTTGCAAAGATGTTAAAGAAATGAACTTGAAATCAAACTACTAAACCTTGCATCTATTTCAGACTAAAAATAAGATGATAAGCTAAAATGTATAAGTATATAAAAAGTGTATTTGTACAAAATATACAAAAGATCAAGTACATAGCACTTTAACCCTGTGAGTTAGGTAACTTTATGGAAGATGAAAGGGCAAAGAGGAAACTGAGAAGAACTATTTAATAAGCAACATTTATAAGTACCAGGGCTTCTAAAACTGTTACTCTGGCAACCTGCAATGATAACCTAGTACTTAAAACCATGAATGTCTTTTTTAGTTTCTTGATTTCACTCTTGTGGAGTATGGTAAGACCTCACAAACCCTACAAGGACAGCAAGAACAGTGGATTAAACATCATAGTGCATTGGTTTACATGTATTCATCCAACACGTATTACTGTTTAGCCACCAGGATCCATGAGAAATCCTTAAGTTCCGTAAAAGTCACCATAAACAAACTCTGATCATGGACTATGCCTTTATCACTTCTTGAGCAGCTGTAGTTTCCATAAGTTGCTGTTTCACGTGTATCCTAAGTACCCAACTTTTTAGATATTACTATTTTCCCTCAAAGAAAAAAGATTAATTTTTATTTTTCGCATTGTTTGAACATTTCAAAGCAACTTAGAAAAAGATGAATGAATTTAAAAATAGAATGAATTAAAAAAAAAAAAAAAGACTATTCTTTTTACTGGTGTATCTCAAAACCCAGGCTGGAAATATATTATCTCTTCCCATCATTTTCCTGTAAAAATATCTGCTAGATATCCAGAATGCTAACGAATACTTTCATTGCCATCCAAGGTTATATATCATTTACTATGCACATTACATTACTTAATTGCTGAGATTGTTCTATAAGTTATGTTTTCCCTAAAATTTAGTAAGAACATAATGTATAATAAAAATAGGATACTTCTTTATTACATGGAACCTTGCTTCTTACCCCGTGATTGTACAAGGCGTGGTTTCCTAGATGAATGCTTGAAATGGGACGGGGTAGCCTCATGATGAAGGTCAAAGCTTGAAGACTCCTGCACTGTATCCAGTGGTACCATCCCCCTTGCAAGCATCTCAGGTCCATGAACTTGACCTGGGACCTTAGAAAAAACAGGCTGGATTTGTGGTAAATCACTTTTTAAACAGGACTTTAAATGAATGGGAAACAAAAACCCAAAACGTAAATATCCCAGTGGGTATAGGGGAGAGGAGAGGAGAATACTTTTTAATATCTGATGAAAGCGGGAAAACGACCACCACAAAGGCTACTACTACTAGCTTTAAACCAGTAACTTTCTCCTTGCATCAGTCCAAAGTCTGTAAGGTTGCTCACACATAACTGGTTTCACCTCCTACCTGCTGGCCTGATAAATCAAGCTCCAAGTCTTCCAGAAGGGTCACGGCCTCCTCCCCACTATCGGGACGATATTCCTGCAGCCAAACTTGGAGCTCCTTGGGCAGAATGGAAAGGAACTGCTCTAGCACCAACAGCTCCAGAATCTGCTCCTTGGTGTTGACCTCTGGTCGCAGCCACTGATGACAAAGTTCTTTCAGTCGACTCAGAGCCTCTCGAGGTCCAAAAGTGTTCTGGTAACAGAAGTGCCTAAAACGTTGGCGGAATATCTCTGGGTCAGGAGGAGGAGTCTCCTGCAGGCTGGAATCCTGCCCCCACATGTGGTCTTCTTCATCATCCTCTTCAACCTTCACTATGACGATGCCATCCTTCTCCTGAGCAGTCTGGGGGGACAAACCTGTGGCTTCCCTTGATTCAGCAGTCATCATTCAGGTGTAGGGAACTGAGCTGATCCAAGAAGGGTCTGTGCTCTCCTTTCTGTCCCAGGAGATGCTCTCTGATTTGTTCTGGAACTAGTCCTGCAGTGTTAAAAAAAAAAAAGTTATCATTATCATTACCCTTATAGAGCGACCTGTATTACGAAAAGGCTCCAGATTGAGACACTAAGAACATCTCGGGGGGCTCTCCCTGGTGGTGCACCTGGTTAAATCACAGCACTATGAAGGTCTCTGAAGCCACTGCAGCATGAGTTCAATCCCCAGCCAAAGAACTGACCCACACAGCACAGCAGACCTCTTCTGACCCACCCACTGCTCCCTTCAGCAGTGTATTTCAGTACATTTGCCTGTTCTGCTCTCCACTCTTGTCTCTGGTGAATCTCTCATCCCAGCACCTCTGGCCTGTACCCCAGTTCTTGTATGCATAAATAAATCTTTTTCTTTTTTAAAAAGAATGACACTGGATTGCAAAGGGAGAAAAAAGCCTGCAGAACCACAGCATTTTCACTGTCACTTTCTGTATTTAAGGTTTACAAACAAAATCCTCCACCAGCAAATTCTACTCTCAGGGAGTGCCTGACTTCTAGGATCTCAGTTTCTCATGTGTTGCTTTACAGTGCTCTGCCCAATGAGCTGATACAAGCAGGGTGCCAGGCAAGCATCAAGAATCAAATAGGTACAATTGTTGGTGTCATTTTACAGGTGACAAGACTGATGTGAAGACAATTTGCTCAATAGCAGGTGGCTGCCTTGTGAAGTCAATGTTAAAGCCATATTTGAAGCCCAACTTGCTAATCCATTTATCAGTTTCTATTATTTTTTTTTAAAGATTTATTTATTTGTACATACAGAACTGGGGTACAGGCCAGAGGCTCAGGGATGGTGAGAGGCTTCACCAGAGACAGAGTGGGGAGCAGAACAGGCAGATAGATGAAGTACACTGCTGAGGGGAGCAGCGGGCGGGTCAGGAGAGGTCTGCCACGCCATGTGGTCTCCTCCGGGGCAGGCGGGATTCGAACTCATGCGGAAGTGGCTTTAGCTTCTCAGTGCAGTGCTTTAATCCGCTGCGCCACCAGGGAGGGCCAGTTTCTATTATTTTAAGGGTACATGGGTCAGTTTGAAACTGTATGCATGAAAGTACAAGATGGTCCACTTTGGAAACAAGAAGAGAATATCTGAATGTACCTGTATCTTAAAAGTGAGAGAATACACCATATTTAATGTACAACTTGACACAACACCTCTTGGTCTAAATGCTGAATTGTCACTAGTCACAGGGTACGTGATATCTCCTGAGGGAAGAATGGAAGCTCTTCTTTCCTACACAGATGGCTGCCTCATATGCATGTTTATTTTTAGGTATTGTGGTGGGACTTTCAAACAGAATAACTGAATAGATTACTGCATTTTATGAGACCATTGTGTGGAACAGGAATAATTTGTCTATTTTTAACTAATCTCACCTTCATAAAACAGACAGGCAAATTTCTAGAGTTTTTGTAGAGAAATTACAATTAGAGGAAACACTATTGATGCAGACACGTGTGAACAAGAAAATGACACAGCTCACGTTTCTATCCAGAGCCAGTTTTACTCAGCCAGATGAGGGGGTAAAAAACTAAATCAAACAAGATGTTAACTAAATGAATGAAAAAATTGCTGCTTAAAATATGAGGAAAGAACTAATATAGGAAAAGATATATGCTGGGAAATTTTCCATTATTATGTAATTTTAAGTGCTAGAAATGGCACTAAGTTTCCTGGAAAAGTCTTTCTCTACACACTTTCAAAACTTACAAGTATTTTATAACCTGTTTTAAAATTTTTCCCAAATAAAGAAATTTTCAATGAGTCTTTAGACTGTTAAACATATAAAAACACCTTAAAAAAATATTTATTTACTTATACATACAAATGGGGGCCAGAGCTACCGGGAGCGTGAGAGGATTCACAAGAGACAAGAGTGGGGAATAGAACAGGTAGATATGCTGAAAAACACTGCTGAGGGGAGCAGTGGGCAAGACAGGAGAGGTCCGCTGTGCCATGTGGGCTGGGAGTCGAATTCTTGCTACAGTAGCTGTGGACTGTCTCATACTGCTGTGCCACCAGGCAGGGCCCATAAAACACCTTTTCATTAGTTTTGAAGTACAAGTGATTTAAGGACATAGAAAATAGAAATGTACTAGCTGAATTTCAACAACAAAAATTTGTTACAGTTGGTGGATAAGACTGATCATGATTTACTAATGGTCAGTGATGCGTCTCACCGCATTTGAATGGAGAAATCTTTGTGAAATATCTTTTTTACCTCTATAGCCACCAAAATTAAGCTTCAAATTGAAGTTTTAGAGATAGACACACAGCTGCTTTATCAGTGAGTTAAGTCAAGAATTTTAAACTAGCAACAAATTTAAATTACAAGGCTTTCACTAAAAAACTATTAGTAAAGAGTTTTAAAGCACAGCACTGTAAGGCTCTCTGCAACCACTGCAGCATGAGTTCAATCCCCAGCCAGGGAGGTGACCCCATGGCTCGGCAGAACTCTCCTGACCCACACTCTGCTCCCCTCAGCAGAGTACTTCAGTAGAGCTACAATATATGGTTTGCAGCAGGACTTTACCAGTTGTGAAGTCAAGACATTGGGGAAATTATTTAATTGCCACATTTTTTTTTTTATATTTCTTTGAAAGCTTTTTTGAGTAACAATATTGTTATAGACTACTATTTTAATAGGACTTCAATTTCTCCCTGTCCCAAAGTAGTTTTACCAAAGTATGTTTCTGGTCATTTCTTCCTTTAAGTAGTCGTCCGTCATTGAACCGCCAATTACTATCTATTTAAGGGCCTTCATAACACACCCCATCCTATTTTCCCCTTCTTACCTCTGACTGCTTTTCCTAGTAGCAGTCCCCTTGCATGTTCCCCTAGCATAGGGGTATGAGTGTTCATTTTCATCCTTTGCTATGAACAAGTTCACACACTATCAACTCTATTGGTGAAGATTTTACTCAACCCTTCTAGATGCAATGTTTCCTGACATCCCAGATTAAATAAAATACCTTCCTTTTTCGAATACTCTTAGTATTTTATTTTCTTATGGCTTTTATTCTTGTGTATTTCTGTATGGGCAGTTTCTATTTCTGCCTCCCGACTAAAATTCAAGCCCCTCAAGGACAGGGCTCTTGTCTTCTTTGTATTTATTTCCCAAAGAACCTGGCAGTTGAATTCTGTCAAACTTAATAGAAATCAGAACTATTAAAATTATGACAGCTCCGACCCACATGGCATGGCAGACCTCTTCTGACCTGCCCGGTGCTCCCTCAGGAGTGTACTTCGTCAACCTGCCTGTTCTGTTCCCCACTGTCTGTGGTGAATCCTCTCACCCACCACACCTCTAGCCTGTATCCCAGTTCTATAAGCATAAAAAGTAAATCTTTAAAAAAAAATTATGACAGCTCCCCCTGCCATCTTTTTATTGTCTTTAGTGGAGCTAGTGATTGGGTATTATTCTGATATTCCAGTCACTCGACTGCTCTCTCCTTTCATGCACTCATCTCTAAGAACCACAGAAGTATTTTTCGGTTTTTGGAACATTTATTTTTCTATCTAATTTAATGAAGTTCAACTTGTTTTCCTGCCTTCATTTTCTCCCTACCCTTCTACACTTACTATACTTTCAGATTATTCTTCCTAAAACACTGTAGTCTTGCAGTCAACACACTCTAGTACATGGTCCCAGTTTCCTCTCAATCTTCATTCCCTAACAATCTTCTCCACGCCCACTAGGAACCTTCTCCATCCCACAAAATGGGTCTACTTAGTATTTCTCAAATATGCATTGTTCCTTTCCTCACATTGTACTCAATGCCCAGGACTCCCCACTTATCTTTTAGCGCTAAGGTAAAATAACACTTGCACCCAACACCATTCAAGAAGCTTCTAGTATGTATAATAGTAAAAGCCAATGTTTATTGAATAGTTTCTATGTACCAGTATTACATTAATCATTTCATACAGTCTTAGGTGGTAGATACAATCACCATCTCATTAATAATGACAAAAATGACATTAAATAACATATCCAATAAAAGCACCAAATTTAAATGTAACAGCAATGATATGGCAGTCAGGATTTGAAATTAGGTCTGAAGTTAGGAATCCAATCCTCAGTTCAAGCTCTTTAATCATTATCCCAAATTCATCCTGTCCCAAGATATGGGGCAAGAAGGGCTTCTGCGTGTGCATAGATTCTTTCTAAAAGGAGGACACTCGAGACTGGACCTTATCTGTGTTCACCAGAGTTATGTGGCTAAGGAAGCACAGCAGGAGATGAAAGTGGGACTCATCAAAAATCTAACCAGGTGGGATTTTCAAATAGGAGAACTGAGCAGTAATGCAGTAGCCAACCAAGCATGAGAAATCTCTATTCTTAGGAAGTTTGTTCTTGTATCAGCTATTATGTATTATGGAGAATAAAGAACTCTTGATTTGTGTCCAAACCTAGGCTACAAAAGTGCCCAAAAGTGGATGGCTGGATTTAGAGTTGATGCTCTTTGAGTCACAGGGAACCAAAAGCAAGCATCTCTGAACAGGTAGTGAGACCCCAAGGGACAGAAACCAGAGTATGTCCATAGTCCTTCTTTACCGAAATGGGAGAGCGGTCCTTTCCTCTACACTCCAATATTTCTTTATTCCCGTTCTGGAGCAGAGACTGCAAAGTCACAACAGGGGAGGACCAAATTTAAATATAACTCACTTTTGCCTATCATATAGTGCAAAAACTTACTCCACCATAGTTACCTGGAAGAATTTCATGTTAGCATTGAAGTGCTACTGCACACACTAGCTGATAATCTTAGGCATGTCACCTCATCTGTAAAATGCAAAAATAGTATTTGCTTCACAGAGTTGTTGGGACAATTAAATGAGGTAAAATATAGAAAGCACTTAAAACAGTGTCTGGCATTTTGACCTAAGGGTTTTTTTCCAATAAGCCTAAGAGAGCTAACTATTTTCTTACTTAAAGATTAAGCAATGGTGCCTTATTTACAATTGGACAGACACTGAAACAGACCAAATGCCCAAAAGTGGATGGCTGGATTTAAAAGATGTAGTACATATACACAATGGAGTATTACTCAGCAACCAAAATAAGAAACACATGCCTTTTGCAGCAACATGGATGGAGCTGGAGATCATGCGTAGTGAAATAAGCCAGAAAGAAAAGGAAAAATACTGGATGGTTTCACTCATAGCAGGAGTATAACGGACCAGGTGAGAAAATATAATAATGAACAGCTATATACCAGAGATATTTTACAGGAGTGGAGTGGCGAATGGGATCAAAAACAGTGGGGGGAGGGAAATGCACATGGTATGGTACATGGTGATTTGGTGATGGAAAACCCACTGGGACTACAACTGAGATGGTGATGTAAAAGTAAGCTATTATTTAAAAAAAGAGAAAATAACACAGTAAGAAATAAAGAAAAAAAATTAAGCAATGGGTAAAATGTGTGACAGTAAAGCATAGATTGTAACACCTGAATTATTTCCCACAAATAGACACACGTCCCTGAGCAAGTTATTTAACCTTTCTGGCATGCAGTATCTTTCTAAATAGAGGACTCTGTCAAATGGGAGAGGTGGCAGGTAATACTTCTGAGGAGCAGAAAAGTAACTTTGGGGTCCCTTTGAGCCAACAAATATTCTGACAACACTATCCAATTTAGGTAAGATTACCCCCAGCAACTAGTTCTCACCAAGAATAAATACCAATGACTTTCTCATCAAAAGGTTTGGTGTTACAAACTCAGTGTATTCCAGACTATCTTCTAAGCAGGGCAGTTATCTTTCTGGGGTATAGTTCTGAAAATTTAAATAAACTTCTCCCTCCCCATTTTTGAACAGCTCTATGAAATGTTTTAAAATATGAAGATGTTACCTTTAAGAAGACAGCTGGCTGCCAAAGAATAGTGATAGCACCTCAGAATGAAAAGGTTAAGACTTGACATACTAAATCCATATTTGCATACAAGATAAAAGTCAGAAAAAATTTAAGTGTGTTTATCAAGTAAATATTCAGCAAGATTATGTAGCTATTGAGTAGCTAGCATCCCTGCTGGTAGCTGAAGATTGGTGAAAACTGCCTGAAATAATGAACAGGAACCTTGCATAATTCAGAGACAATACTAACTTGGGGAAATCTTCACTAAGGTATCCTATATAATAATAAAGCTATTTCTCCACATCTGGGCAGCAAATATATTCACAGTGCTTTGTTGATTGCGTTACAATGACTTCACAATACAGTTCAACAAGTATTTATTGACCACCTCCAATCTGCCTAGCACTGGCCAGTACAATAAATGCTTTCTTTGGTCCGGGGCCATGTAACTGCCACTCTCTATAATCAAAGTATCTTATTGTGTATGGGAGCACAGCAGGAAAGGGAGGGGAGGAAACACGTCAGGCTAAATTGTAGCTGAATTTTTCAAGTACACTGACCAATTCAAATACATTCAACTTTGGAAGAGGCTTTTGAGAAAATCTAGTCAATTTTATGGATGAGTTGGTGAGTGTCCTCCTATGCAGGGTCACTCAATTAGTTTTCTAATTGTTCAGTATAAATTCCCTTTACTTTTCACCGACTCCAAGTCAAGCAGAGTAACTACCCAGAGCTGGGGGGAAACACCCCTAAATCTTCAGGACAGTTAATTTTTTAAAAAGCCTTCAAAATATTCCATAAAACCGGAAGAGAGTGGAGTGTATATTATCTCCACTAGATCCACATCACTTCTTTATCCTCTAGGACTAGGCTTCAAATACTCTTTAATCACCTCTTGGTGGCGGGGGTGGGGTGAAACGCCGTTGAGCTGGAAACATCTATGCGGCACCTCAAAACGTCTATTTCTCAGTCCTCCACATTTTTCACCTAGAGGTCCTATAGGACCCAGAAAACACTCTTTCTGGAATCAAGGCAAATGGCGACCAGGGGAGTCAGAAATATCAGACAGGGCAGTTGGTTTGCTCGAGATTTGGTTTTTAGAATCTCAAAAACGTCAAACTACGATGACGACACTGCGGGTGAAGGGCCCCGCAGACGGCTGATCGCTCCAGGTCTCCGAGCACCCCGCCACTAGACCCTCGCCCCCTGCCCGTCAGCACCCGGGGTGGGGTTGGGACGTGTCTCCGCGGGACGGCGCCTCCTACGGTCGGGCCTGGGGAGGGGACAAGGGCACGGACTCTTCACTCCGCCCGGGCCGCCGGTAGAGGACCCCGGGGCCGCAGTTACAGAGCCCACCATCGCGCACGCATCCCTGCGGCTCCGCCCGCCCTCCCCAGAGGCCGGCCCCAAGTCTCACCGTGAGCCCCGGGAGCGGCCTGGGGGCGCTGGGCGAGAAAGGGGAGCTGACTCTGGGGCTGAGGCCGGCCGAAGGGCGCCGCGCACGGACCTAGGCCCTCCCGACGTCTCCACACAGACACAATGAGTCACAAAGGCCGGAAGTGTGTCAGCATCTCGCCTTCCGGGCTGCGCCGCGCTTCCGAGTCCTCTCTAGGAACGCCGGAGGCTTCTGTAACTCGGTGCCCGAATCGCCAGGCTGGGCTCTGACCCCACGGAGGTCCAGCTGTCAGATTTGGGGCTCCCACCCTCAGCTTCTGCGCCCCTAATTAATGCGGGGGACAGAACGAGTTGAGGGTGTGGGGGGTCAGGCTTTACATAACATAAGCAAACTGTTCAACTAGGCCATCAGTCCTTAGGATAATTCAATTCCCCATCCCAGGCAGTTCTTGTAATTATAGTTATTATGGAGCAATAATAATACGTAGTAATTGTATGTCTGTGGCAGTGGAAATGAAACAAGAATGTAGACAGAGTGAAGATCAAAGTGAAGCCGGGGTGGCTGGTTTCGCAAAACTGCCATAGTAGCTTCTCTGGGGCTCTTGGAGGTGTCTGCCAATGGAGTGGGTGGTATTTTCAAATATTTGGCCTGTGGACAAAGGACGTCTCTTCACAAACAAGCTAGTTATAAGGTTCTGTGTGTTTGTTCATATGGCATATAGTATTATAGCAATTTATGGCAGTTTAAAAGGAGTTTTCAGAGTAATAACAGACACGTTTGCCCTCAAGGAGCTTTCACAGCCTGCAATTGTGGTTTCACCTTCACCTGCCTGTTGAGAGCTAAGGCAGAAATAACACTCCAACTCTGTGCTGGGCTTGCACGCTGTGACTTGGCTGTAGTTTCAGGACAAGAAGTACATAGAAGAGACTGAACTTAGTAGGGTTCTGGCTGCTCGGGGAGTTTTTTTTTTTAATGCCTCAAAATTAGGAAGGTGGCAGGAATTAGTAGAGATGGTAGAGAGTGAGGACATTTAGTGGTGGGTGTGGGATGTTCTATATAGTTGCTTACCTAGAAACTGTATACCTGAAACCTATACAGTATTGTAAATGAATGTTACCTCAAAAAAACAAAACAAAACAAAAAAAAACTGTGCTTCAAAACTAAACATCATTTAATGAAAATTGCAAAATGGACAAAAATAATCAACTGTAATCCTTCCGCCCTAACTTGATTGTGATGACTTTAATTTATCCCTTTCCTATCTGTTTTCATATGTATATGTTTTCTGTTTATTATGTTAAACCTAGTTCATAGTTATATATATATATTATTATGTTAAACCTAGTTCAAAACCATAGTGGCTGGTGTGCTTGAAATACCTGCCACATCTCTGTGGTGACCACTATTTGGACCAAAGCCGATTGAAACAGGGTTGGGCACTTGGTGGAAGCATAGCTAATGTATTTGCTGATCAGTAGAACTAAGAGGGGGCTGGCTAGCCAGCTATGGCTGAGGGAACTGTAGGGGCTTAAAGTGATTAGATCCCTTTTGGGGAAGGAAGATTTAAATGTGAGACAGACAAGCTGGGATAAGCAGAACTCAGAAAACAAAGCCCACAAACCAGTGGGAGTAATGAGTAAGCAGAAGCTTAAACAGAAAGATAAACAAACCAAGCTATTCAATTAAAGACAGTGAGGGGCTGGTGCATCTCTGGGGGAGCTCGAAGCAGGGAGCCCAGTCACCCTGTACCTGGGGCCCACAGCGTCGTGAGGGGACAACCTAAATAACCTTCAGATCAGCAAGTTTTATTATCCTGTTTGCTTGCCTTTGCTGCAGATATAGCATTGCTCTCTACCTCCCTACCTTCCTTGACACCAACATAAATGTGTTCTTTGCCCCTGGAAAATTCCATTGTGATCAATGTGAAATCATATGTACTACTGAAAAATGATCACTCTTAAAAATAGTAAATTAACAAATTTTGTTATACAGAATAGATATGTATCATTTTAATAGCTATGAAAAAGTCCATCAAGCAGACTGGCCATTACTGTTCAGTAATTCCACATTTATAGACATGTAGATTACTCCAGAATTTGCTAGTATAATAAATATTTGAGGGCCCTCCCTGGTGGTGCAAGGGGTTAAAGTGCAGCACTATGAAGCAAGCTATCCACAGCCACTGTAGCACTAGTTCAATCCCCAGCCAGGGAGCTGACCCACATCGTGTAGCAGACCTCTCCTGTCTCACCTGCTGCTCCCCTCAGCAGTATATTTCAGTAGATCTACCTGTTCTGCTCCCCACTCTGTCTCTGGTAAATCCTCTTACCCCCAACACCTCTGGCCTGTACCCCAGTTCTGGTATGCACACGTAAATAAATCTTTTTAAGTAAAAAGAAATATTTGAAGATTTTGTGCAAATACCTTTTACATTCTTTACTTAGGACAGATTCTGATGAGTGGGTTTACTGAGTTATAGGTATGAATTTTTTAAAATGTAGTTTATCATATTTCTTGTGGGAAGGCTGGTGCTCCCAGCCAAGGTGGGCACCTGGGATTGGAGCGGACACAGAAGCCTCCCTGGGTCTAGTGGGGGGACGCCCCCCCAGGTCCTTTTGAACTTTGCATTGAGAACACTTTCTGAATTATGTAACCCTTCCTGATCACGTCCTCTCTTCCTGCTGTGGTAGGCCTCTGATAATGAGCAGAAGAATGGCACAGTTCTCTCTCTTTCCACATCCAAGGAGAGGCTCTGGTAAGTGCTACGCAATATTGAGTATTTGCATGGTGCTAATGCAGGGTTCACTGAGGAAAACGTTCCCTCTGGAAGCACCTGTCAGGTGTGTTTATCAGGGGTGGGGACAGCTGTCTTCCCCACAGACATACAACATGTTTCCCAGAAACCAAAAGGAATGAAGAAACCTGGCAGAGAAGACTTGTCCCTCTTTAGAAAAATATATCTATCAATCTCACTTTAAGAAATGAAGCAAATATGTTTGGCTTATTTTGGGGGGACAATGATCTCAACGTGTGACCCCTGGATCAGTGACATCAGTATCACTTGGAGCTGGTTAGAAAAGCACCCCTGATTTGCAAATCAGAAACTCTGCCCAGCTATTGGGTATTAACCAGTCCTCCTGGTGATTCTAGTGCTCTTTATAATAGAGAAAATCTCAGTGCAATTTGTTGTTGTTGTTGTTCACATCACTCTTACACTGGTTTTGTGTTTAAAAAAAATTCCTGACTGCAAAAGAAAAGGTAAGAACACTCTTAGGGCTAATGAAATAAATGAGTTGTTTCTTTGTTCCCTATTTATAAAATCCACACTCATGACCTTAATAATTATCCAAATAATTGCAATATTTATAAAAAAAGTATCCAAATAATTACAAAAGTTATCAAAAATAACTAGCATGACAATGACAATTTAAGATGGCCTTGGTGTTAAGGGGACTGTACATATAAACTTAGCAAGGACAATGTTACAGGAAATTTCACCGTTCTTGGTTTCCTGAGCAGGCATTTTTTTGTAGTAGTTAAAGAAAACAGTGATTTCTGACTTTTTTCTGAATTCCTCATACAATGCACTTGTGTGTTGCTTGTTATTCTTCCCCACACCAGTGAGGAGCCAGAGGCAGGGAGAACACAGGGCAGGGCCATAGTAGCTGAGCCTTGGCAGGGAGCTTCCCAGAGGAGGACGGGGGCATTTGCCTGCCTTCAGTGGCCACAGCTGTCTAATCTAGATGGGCATGTAAGAAAACCTCCCTCTTCACATCATTAAAGCTGACGGTCTTGTGATGATCTTTGTGAAAGTAGTTCAACTATAAAGTGATACAGAAATGTTATTGTTTTGATTATTGACTAGGAAAGCCAGAGAAAGGACACATGTGTATAAGCGAATGCAGATGTGTGATCTTGCTGTTCGCTGTGCTGTTACAGTCATGCTATTTTTTAACCTTATTTTCCTTGAATTTTCAGATAACTGCCATGGGGAAAATTTTTGTCCCCTTAGGCACAATTTTTTTTTCCATTTGTGTGTGGCGGCTTATGGGAATGGCAGCATAGTGCACAACAGGTTTGATACTTAGGGTCAGACAGGGATTCAAATCTTTGCTGAAGTAATAACTGACTGTGTGAGTTTGGGCAGGTTAGTAACCACTCTGAGCTTTTGTTCTCATATGGGTTGACTTGTAAACCCACCTCCTCCCCATTGGAGGTAGAGTTTTTACAGAGGTAATTGAGTTAAAATGAGGTCATTCTGGTGGGCCGCAATCCAACATGATTCAAGTCCTTATAAGAAGAGGAAATTTGCACACAGACTTTATAGCAGGAAGGCAATCTGAAGCTAAGGGCCAGAATGGCCACCTACACCTTGAGGAGAGAGGCCTGGTCTCTTACACATCTCAGAAGGAAACCATTCTGTGGCACCTTGATCTCAAACCTTGAATCTCCAGCACGGTGAGATGTTACTTTTCTGTTAAATCTCCAGTAAGTGACACCTTGTTCCCAAAGACCCCAACAAATTCAGTTCCAAACTGAATCAGTGATATTGTTATAGCGCAGAGAGAGGAGCACCCCAGAACCTCTCCTTTCCCTAGGGACCACCCTGTTACGGTATCTGCCTCGCAGATTATGGTGAGAATAACATGGGTGCAAATGGTGAGCGCGTGTCACCTGGTTCTGACCTAAATCCATTTGGGGGTTCAGGCTGGACCTTTTGAATGGTAGGAAGGTGTCCTTCTCAGGTTCATTGGCACAAAGGCCTGGGAAGCCTCTTGAAAGAGCACCCACAAATAGGAAAGGCCACAGACAAGTCTTGTCAACAGTAAGCTCTGGTCATCACAAGCATGTGCTTGGGGCCCCAGGACTGTGCCTCAGACTTACTGTTTGGGCCTGCTCCCAGTGGCCTCTGTCCCTCCTTTTCAGGGCAAACACAGGTAAAACTAGATAGAGCAGTTTCAGTGGAGGCCAGTGGCCTCAGGGCAATGTGCCTGGGCTGCCAGCCAGCATTTCCTGCTGGCAGGTTCCCAAGGTTGTTCTGAAAGCCTTTCCTCCAGGGCATATTGGTGTATTATTTTCCTCTTACTGCTGTAACAAATAGCTGCAAATTGAGTGGCTTAAACAATACAATATGTTCTCTTACATTTCT